CATCACAGTGTACCTCTACGTCAGCATTTGTGATCAGGTTTTGATTCCTACTAAACAAAGTCTGCAATCACCTAATTGGTTGCAGGCATTAAAACCTTAAGCAGTCTTTAAACTACTTTTATTGGATAGTTGAACAGAAGAGATCAGCATCACACTACATAAGGATCACAATTCCCGCCCATCATGCACCAAGACAAGAATTCTTTTGGCTTCTGTAGCTCCATTTACAGTCGTAGTAGTTGACAATAACAGCTACATACAGTAACAGTGGTTTGTGATGTTTCAGTGGAGATCTTTCACCTGATGGAGCAGAGGAAGGTGTCAGCAGAAGATCTGGACTCTGTTCCACTGGACCATGTGTGAGTATTTGGACTAGATTTTATTCTATGAGAAAAGATTAAACACATTGAAGCTCAAGCTGCTATGATGGAGTTAGCAAAGAGTTTGTGTACACAGTACACAAACACTTTGGGTCAGGTGCTCAAGTGAAATTAAAGGGCACCCTCTCATAATTAAGTAGCAGTAGTAGTAGTAATTTAGTAGTAGAAATAGCACATCTTTTGCTAACTTCTGTTTATTTTTTTATGTCAATACCCACACACTAATAGCTGTTTAATAAATTTCAATACAGTTGTCATGGCACTTATCTAATCACAGGCTATATCCAGCCATACAGGAGCAGTTTTGATTCATAGTCTTGTCATCCTTGGTCTCTAATTCTCCTTTAATTATTGAGACCTTGGAAGCCTCAAAAAAGTTTGTTCATAAAAGTTAACATGGTAAATACATCCTTCCATCACACAATGTAGTCCTTGCTGTCTGCTTCTTGAAGCTACGTTGCCTGACGCCCAGAAAATATTTAATAAATAATGCAGCACATGGCTAAGCAGAATTGGCATCAGCCTGTTTCGTTTTTACCAAGCGTGTCCAACTTAGCAACAGTAACTAAGGGGGGTGGGACCCAGGATCTGTCAATTGCATATCTTCACTGAGGTCATTCTGGAAGCTGTTGTCAGAGCAGCCTGTATTATCACTTGCAGGCTGGGAGAGGCAGGGGACGTGGCTCTGGTGAGGCACGAGGGCCGAGGTTCTGAAGGTTTTCTGGAACACATCTTCAAACATGCCGCCAAAGAACTCTTTGGTCTGGACGTCCATGAGATCACATACAAGACCCTCAGGTGAGAGACACTGTGACCCTGTGAGTTATTCAGCTGGAATATACCATAGCCTCCCTGGAAGTCCAGTCATCCATGCCACACTTTTGTAGAGCAATGTCAATTTGGACATAAAATACAATTTCTTTGTCTGAAAACTCTCCTCCTGTGTCACATGTTGCTGTTGTAGGAACCGGGACTTCCAGGAAGTGACTCTGGAGCGAGACGGGGAAACTCTGCTGCAGTTTGCCGCCATCTATGGTTTCAGAAACATCCAGACTCTGGTTCACCGAATGAGAAAGGGACGTGTGCCTTACCAGCTGGTGGAGGTGCTGTCCTGCCCAGGAGGTAACACCAAACATTATTTTTCGAGAAACATTGCTTGAAATAGTGTCTTTCACTTTGGATCTGTCGGTGTTAGCCCATGTTGTGTTTCATACGTGGTAGGATGCTTGAGCGGCCGCGGTCAGGCGGAGAGCGACACAGTAGGCCGGGTGGATAAAGTCCTCGTCCAGCAGATGGAGGAGGCCTACAGCAGCCTGCCCATCCGCCTCCCAGAGTTTAGCTCCACCCTGCACACCCTCTATCAAGACTGGCTGCAGGGCCACGACTCCCCACAGGCCAGCGCACTCCTGCACACCCAGTACAGAAGTCAGAGTCAGACCCACACACAGCCCCCACACATGCAGTGGTGAGGAGAGAGGGGTGTATTTACTTTATGGAAGTTGAACATGGGCTGCCTCTGGTTCACTCTGATTCTGCTTGGACCATCTCATCATTCATGCTGACACCATGAAGGACAAGCCAAGGACCATGCTGCACTTAGGACCAGGAAGTGTCAGTAGGTGCAGTACTGCCATTAGGCCACAGGGGGTGATGTCTGTATTTAAAATATGTGGCTCTCCTGTGCCAGACCTGAGCCTCAGGAGAAATAAGGCTCCAGAGTCCAGACAAACACACGTCTGCATTTTATGCGGACTGAAGCAGTGATGTCACAAAGCTGCAGATAATGGTTACAAACAATCAGGTTCAAAACCTCCTGATCTGCAGCTGTACTGAGAAGTGTGTAAATCTGTAACACCTATTTATGTCATTTTACAGAGCAATAACTGGGACTCATAAACTGAACCTGTGGATGTTGAATGTTCATATGAAGAGTTTCATGTATTCCAAATGGAAACTGTCCAGTATGTTGTTTCATGTTCAGGTTGCTTCCACTGTTCCCTGCTGAAAGATAAGACAATGTGTTCTCAAACACATTCATAACTATGCAACAGTGTGATTGCCTCATCTCAGCAGAGTGAGTCTGCTGTGGGACTTGAGGTTAAAGGCATTTTACTAACACTTAACCTGACTAGCAAGTGTTCGCTCATGTGTATCTACCAACTCAATGTTTGGGTTATCCGTCCCAGTGAAGAATCAGTCATTATTTTTTTAATGGTACACAATAATTACTTATTTGTTTTATCAAACTAGTATTTTTAAGTTAAATGTTTTTTTTGTTTTACAAGATCAAACATCCATGTAAGGCACTAAAATATTCTGACAAAACAAAGTGTGTCTCATTTCACTGTCTCTGTGGGTAATGTCATGGTTCACTAAAAAGCCTCTGCCTCCTATAGAGATAAACTTTTTTTTTATTTCTGCTGCTGGTAATCCGCAAAACAGACTAGTTTTAAATGTTAGTGTTCTAATGAAAACATCTGAAACAAAGTTGTGTGGATTATCTGTAGCATTGATTTCCAACTGGCTCAGCCACAGGGTCCAGATTCCTCCTTAGTCATTAGTTCAAGGTCCACACAGTTGAACACATTCAGTATCGTACTTTCTTTCAGCCATGGTATCGAGCAAGTTTGCTGTTTCTGTCAAGTATCTGTCTGGTAGTCACTCACTCTTAGGCAGGAAATGGCATTTCAAACTTAAGGCTCTGTGCCGGAAATTCAGTGTATGTGATTTTTTACAAACTTGACACGTTAGTGAGTCACTTGCGGCCCATTCAGAATGGACTCTCGACCCACTTTTGGGCCGCGATCCACCAGTTGGGAACCACAGATCTACAGTGTTTTTTTCCAGTGCTGTGAGCTCCACAAGTGAAACTCCATTCAAGTTTATTGCAATTGGATATCTCAAATTTAACCAAAACTACCTACATAAGTGAATATGACAGAGGTAAGTGAGAAAATATGTTATTTGTTTTATTGGTCATTTCAGTGATTGAACCTTCAGAGGTGCTTAATGTAATTGCACATTTTGATAATCAAAATCGCAAAAATTCTTCATTGTGCAAAATTTTAAAATATTTGTAAACATGCTGGTGTACAGCCTCCATAGGTGTAGATTTCGGGGGGGGGGGAACGTCCCCTTCAATATTAAGAAAATGTGCATTTGTTCCCCTTAATAAAACATGAAAGTTTTGTTTTGGTTTGTTTCAATGAAAGATACGTTCGCAATAAATACATGCAGAAAGGGCCAAAATTGGTGCTTAAAAATTTACCAGAATGCAGGAAATTAAGTATTTGATGCTCAAAATTAAAGGCAGGGGACCCCCAACCCCCTGTTTCATGTGTGTCCTACTCTTTGTTGAAAATAAACTTACACTCTTTTACTGTTGTTGATAATTTAACATCTTTGGAATTGGAATTTTGGAAAGTTAGTCAGACAAAACAAGCAACTTACTGGGGTCCACACAAAGTATTTAAAATGAAAATGTGAAAGAATAAGTTAACATTTTGGAAAATGTGCTTCCTCGCTTTCCTGCAGAGGGTGTGATGAGTACAGAGCTAGAGCCAAGAGTCAATTAGATGAGTCTGGCATGAAAACTTAAATCCAAAGCTTGACCAACACCTTCTCATTAACAAGCTGTATCATGTCTGTCTAATTCATACACACAAAAGGAACATGGAATGTGTTGTGGAGAGTTACTTGCTGATAGTTTTGGTGAACAGCAGCAGGCCACAGTGAGTTCCTGACTCCTTGAGGTTTGCAGGCCGTAAGTAAAGCCATTGTTAACAGTTAATTAAAACAAAAAATAACATCTATGTAAGATTAATCAACTCTTGTTTAAGTAACATTTTAAAAGAAAAATGTATGATCTGCCATAAATTGGTGGGTAGCATGTACCAGGCAGAAGCTCTGTAGAGACCAGTTGACGTCGTACAGTTAGTTTATAGACACCACACAACTGGACGACCAGTGTTGACTTGACGTGTTTGATATCTGTGACACCTGTTTTCACAAAAGAGCTGTGACACGTGATATTTGATATGAATTACAGGAGTCTAGACTTTAATGAAACCTCCACAGTTAGGCATGACATCATGGCATCTCACACAGAATAGACAAGGCAAGTTCATTTTTACAAGGTAATTCAAAGCACTTTGAAGAGGCATAGAAATACATTTAAAACAAGACATTAAGAAAACATTAAAACAGCATTTATAGACAATAAATAGCTAAAAATGAGGAAAAAATGCATTTAAAAAAACTAGACAAATGCAAGCAAATAAATAGTTACAAATGAAAAAGGTGTATCCAGTTTACTGGAAAGCCACAGTGAACAATCATGTTTTAAGCCCTGATTTAATTGAGTTAACCATCTTAGCAGACTTCAGGTATTCAGGAAGTTTCCTCTAGAGGTGGGGAGCATAGAAATTAAAAGCTGCTTCACTTTGCTTGGTTTAGCATTAGCAAAAAATTAAGAATTTGTCAACCTGCTCTTCTGGTTTTAATCAACCCAAACATAAAGCTGGACAGCTTCAGCTCCAAAAAACAATTGGATTTAATTTTAGCTACTAATTTGCACATTAATCCATTCAGTAACAGTATTGAGCTCAAAACTTATGTAGATTCTCTCTCAGTTCTACTGGTCATTTCTTCTTCACTGGATTACCTGCTGCAGACCTGTCACCTTAACTGCCCCCTCATCAGAGCACAACAGAGTGTTGACATGTCACTAGTGGAAAACACCGACCAATGCAACCAACTGTCACTGGGGAAAAGGCAAAGACTGGTTTTACAGTGCAGACACTGCAGAGCCAGTAAGACTGCTTAGGTTTCAAAGTACATCCTACTTTCTATGTATATACATACTCAGGTGTGACCTTTAAAACCCCTTTAGAGCAACACCTCTCTTTCCTTCCTATCACCTGCAGCTTCTTCCACCCCTCCTTCTTATTCTCTCGCCTTCCCTGCCCAATCGTTTCATCTCTGCAGTCTCATACACAGACACTGTTAAAGCAGCACCAGTTAGATTCCAACAAGCGTAGTGTGTGGGTGGAGCAGTTTACTTTCACCTGTGCTGTCCTGTTTTTAGGGGAATCACTCCCTGATGCTTTGATGAGAAAGAAGCACTCTTTATGGTAAGTACCGATCTTTCTGTGTTTATATTCATAGAACAGTGTGCATAAAGGTATTTGCTTTTCAGCACTTTAAGCAGTTAATGATTCACTCAGAAGCTTCATGGTTTTTCATTCATGGTGTAAATGATTTTGAGTTTTTATTCTGAGTTTGCCGCTGTTAGTTTTTGTGGTGGAGGATGTATTCATACGTTTTATGAAAGTAAAAGTGACGAAAAACTTGTCATTCAAAATCTTCTTTAATTTAAGGTACGTAAGTGAAATATCAATATTAGATATTTAATAATATGCACTCTCAATAACAGCTTGTGGCTTTTTAACAGCTGACTGAGGTTTGTTGGTGGTGTGTGACAATAAATTTAAGATCAGCGTCACACCCATTTATATTACAGTTCTTCCTGGAATACAATTACCCCTGCTTCACGCACATGCACAGATAGATCTCGGGGGTGCTCAAGCACCAACCCTTTGACATGACCTCTGACTAGATAAGTGCCATTTTTGCAAGACATTTTTTTATATATTTCTTTTCTTTTATTATATATTTTAGTCTTTTTTAAAATTGGCCCATGGCATCAGTTCTCAAGTAAAAGTTCTCAAGTATTGCCTGACAACTGCATCAACATCAAGGGTAAAGGTGACCCCAGCCTAAGGCCAGGGAGGGGCATTAAAAGGTCTATGGTTGACCCTTAAATGGGTTCAAGCACAACTTTTTACTTACTAATTTAAATCACTAAGAGTTAAAGTTCTATGTATTTACATGAATAAATAAATATAATTTTATAATTAGAACACATTTTAACATGCCATGTGATACTCCCCTGCCCGCAGGTATTGTGAAATGGTGTAGTCCATCAGATAGAGGGGGTCAGGTACCCAATGCGTCCTCAAAACTTAATGAATAAATAAGGGGAAAAAATTGTTTACTCCTGATTTGATCTTAATCAATCAGTGTTTGCCTTTTTACATTTGGAGTGCACACCGACCCCTTCAAAATGTTTGTGCATGACATTGCACTGCTTAAAAATCACAAGTATAATCCATAACAATATTTTTCAAAAGTTTTTGTGTGTAAACTCAACTAATCTGAATATGTGTGATTAACTTTAACTGTCAGATGAGTGTGTAGAGGTAAAGTACAACTCTGTGGGGCAAATGTGGTGGGGCAGAAGTCTAAAGTTGGGCACGAAGGCTGGAATAAGGCAGTCTGTATTCCAGGAAACCAGGTTCCCATGAGAAATCTGACATTCCGATCTGTGCAGTTTCTATGTTGTCACAGCTGATTGGGGATTTCTCTCTCAATTCCTTTAGTTTCGAATTGCAATCTGACAATCTGTTGTTGTCTGTTAAGTCTGGAATCTGGTTTCAGGATCACCACATAGTATGATAGTTGTAATTGCTTCTGTGTAACTGCTCATTACTATACTTAAAGAAAAACTTTATCTGCAAAATGACCATTTGTGTATCACATAGTCGCCCTGTGTTAGCATAAATCAGTGAAGAAAACATTGTATTTCTTGCTTGCCTTCATGGTGAACCAAGAATCCAGGAACGAAGAATACTGCAGACCCAGAAAAGTGCTTAAAAATTCAAATAATTCTGTAACACAATTTTAAATATGTAATAATAATGATTAGAAGTATAGTTTTTCCCTAGCTTATTTCTTTTTACTTTTCTTTTTTTATGATTTTATAAATCTATCATTTTTTGCAGTTTTTGGGACATTTTTACCAAGTTGCTCGTTGCCTTTTTTCCTACATTTTTTAAAAGAAACCAATTAGCTCAGGGTTCAAAGGTTTAAATACTTGTGAAAGGCATCTGTAAGCAGCACAAGAAAAGTGATGTCACTCCAGGTTTTAAAGGGTTAAATAGGTTCTCTTCATGTGTATCCAACGGATCCTTCTTTGTCTCTATCAGTAACTAATTTTCTTCCTCAGCTTCCATCTCCTGTGGTGTACCCCAAGGTTCCGTTCTTGGTCCAATCCTCTTCTCCATTTATTTACTTCAGTTAGGCCACATTATTCAAAAATGTAACATATCTTTTCGTTGTTATGCGGATGACATGCAGATCTACCTCCCCTTTGTGCCAAAGAATATCAATAAAGTAATTTACCTCAAAAACTGCCCACATGACATTAAATCCTGGATGGTTGCAAATTTTTTCCAGCTCAATGAGAGTAAAACTGAAGTTATTTTATTTGGACCAATGTTATTTCTCATCTTGGCCCACTAGTTGCATTGGTTAAATCTTATGTTAAAAATCTTGGAGTCATATTTGATTCTGAACTGAAGTTTAACAAACAAACCAATCAAGTAGTAAAATTAAGTTTCATCTCCAAACTCAGATTAATTCTCTGTACTTGTGACCTGGACAAAGTCATCCACGCCTTCATATCCTCCCGCCTCGACTATTGCAACTCATTGTAACTTATTATATTTTGGTATTACTCAGTCTTGTTTATCCCGTCTTAAATTAGTGCAAAATGCAGCAGCAAGATTTTTAATGAGGTCAAAAAAGAAGGAGCACAGTCTTGCCTCCCTACACTGGCTGCCTGTTAGCTACAGATTACATTTTAAGATTCTGATGTTTGTCTACAAAGTGTTAAACGGCCTCACCCCATCCCACATCACAAAGCTCCCCTCCCCATATCGCACTGTGAGAGAACTGAGATCATCTGAACAAAGACTTGTGTCTGTCCCGAGATCCACGGCTAAGTGTAATGGAGACAGGGCTTTCTCTATCGCTGCCCGGAACCTCTGGAATTCTCTTCCTTCCACCATCTGATTCTCCTCCTTCCACCAGATTTTAAGAGTTGTCTTAAAACACACTTTTACTCACTAGCCTTTGATTATACATAATGTGACTGTCTTTGTTGCTGTTACTGTCCCAGTGTGATGGCTATAAAAACAACAAGGAAACAGCTTTTTGCTATAAGTGCAATATTTATTGCTATAATCATTCAAATTTTTGTGTTTCTCTTCGTTTTTTTGTTTTTGTTTTTCTCTGTGTGCTGTAAGAGCACTTTGGATCAACTTTAAAGTGCTATACAAATACAGTTGACTTGACGCATGTCTGGGCATGCTCATGTGTTTGATCTTTGCTACTCATGGGTGGAAGTGTTTTATAGACCGTTTCCAACTTGATGACATAAACATTCTGGGTTCTTGTTTTATTTCCTGTTGGAATGGTTTGCAGTGTATGTGAATGACAGTAGCTGACACCATGAAGGCATGTGAGAAAAACAGTTTTCTTTATGAATTAAATGTAACACAAGGTGAGTAATTGATATATATGATCATTTAGCAGGTAAAATATTCTTTCAAAGCAGCATTAATTAATGGATACCCTTAACCACCACTACAGATTTGGACTTCTGGAAAAAAGTCAAAGGCAGAACAGTACAGGGGCACTCTGGTTTTAATATCTGCTTTTCCTTTTCCAGATTCTGAAGACACTAAACCTTCCATGATGTCCTGCCTGTGGCTGTGTTTGAGTCTGCTCTGTGCTGCTACTTTTCTACAAAGCAGTGCTTGGTCACATGAAGGTATCTTATCAGCTTGTATCAGAAATAAATACGCCATGTATTATGAAGTGAAATCATATCATGCATTTCTCTTTTTTTCCCCTCATTCAGTTGTGTCAGTGATGTGCAACAAGACAATGAACGTTGTAGCTGCACAAACAGTGACACTGAACTGCACTATAGACACCAAGAACTGCACAGGCGTACGCTATCACTGGAATAACGCACAAGGTGACATACAATGTAGCAATAGCTCGAAATACAGATGTGAATGGGATTGTCTGACTTATGTGTCGTTGACCATCTCAAATGTCACGGAAGAGGAAAACTACACCATTCGTATACAGACAGACTGTGGTGTGACTAAACCATCCACTACGGAAGTGCAAGTCATCAAGTCCTCCAGCATAACCAGTGAAGGTGGGAAGCAAGGTGAGAAGCTTCTTGTGTCTTTTCGTCATCATTATTATCTATTTCTATAAACTGAGTGTCTTGTTCAGACACACAGAACGAGTTGGAATCAATCCACATGTTAAGATAAGTGTATTTTGTCTTGCCAGATGAAACAGAAACCATGCCAATACTCCTTCCTATATTGGGTATTGTCATTGCCCTCGCCGTCATCGCTTTGGGTGTTCTGTATTTGACAAGGAAAAGACTCCAGAAGACGACACTGACAAAGGACACTGGGCAGAGGAGTGGAGAATTGCTGATTGTATGACAAATCAGAATAAGTGCTTCAACATATGTGTGTATGTGTGTGGTGGTGGGGGTGGAGAGGAGGGTTACATTTTTTTTTCTTCCAGAATTCTTTGAGGTCTTTGTACAGATTGATCCATGTAAATACAAAGATTTGATTTTAATAAAGGGGCAAGTGTAGTTGTACTCCAACAGACCTGTAAACAGACTCTGTTGTGTAAAATCAGTTCCCCTTTGATTTTAGGAAAATAACCTCTGATGATGTCATGTTATTATGAAAGACGCTGTTGAGTTGCATTATGGGAAATGTAGGCTCCAGTATTTTTGGAGTTTGGAGTAGGGATCAAAGTCAACCTGATCTACTATACATGCATTAAATTTACGTGGTGGCACTACAGAAACAATGCCAATGAAAAGTCATTACAAACCTCTGTTTTGGTGGACACACTAATTCTGTGGTTCAACGTCATGCAATAGGCTGTGGTTAATGTTACAGCCCAGGGTCGGAGTGGTGGATGAGACAAATGATACACTAAGTTAAAGGACCATTGTTCCTGTCCTGTGGGAAACTAAAAAAAGTCAGTCTCTGCATTTACTTGCTTACATCCTTTATGTAGTTACATCGCGCTACATGATGCACTTATATCACTTTACAAGGTACTTACGTCCCATCAGTAACAAATATAGTTCAGTCAGGAGAGACTCTGTTTGAGAAAAAATAATATTTATTTACATGTGCACACAAGTATGAGAAATGTGAAAAGTCTTTGGCAATTAGACCCCTTTGTGATGTCATTTATTCCAGGAGGGTGGTGGTGACACTGGTGGTGGTGATGATGGTGATGAGATGAGATGAGATGAGATGAGATGAGATGAGATGAGATGAGATGAGGACGTAGCTGAGGGACTGGATGTGAAGAGGTGTCGGATTTTGATGAGCTTGTCCTGGGCTCTGGATAAGGTGAATGGGGTGAATGGGGTGGAGGAGGGCACGACGATAAAAGCTGACAGGAGCAGGGAGGAGAACAGATTTAAAGTTTGGCAGCAGCAACATCAATGGCTGAAGGAGATCGTGGCAAAGTTTGATTGGCCTACCAGGAGAGGAAACACCCATAGTCAGCTGATTGGTGGGAGTGGGATGGAGAAAGAATTGTGAATGGATATAGCATAAAGAAAGTCTTCCAGATTGAGTTTAGGCTGAGCCTAATTTAAGTCAACGCAAAATGTGTTTTTTTCCCTTAGCCTATCCAAGTTTTGCTGCCCATAGACTAAATGGTTTCTATATCCTGGGGGTAGAGTCACTTGACAGGCGCTGGGGGAGGGGCATTAAGTGGGTCCACTCTATATGTGTTTTCTTTTTCTTTTCTTTTCTTTTTTTTATAAAATAGGGAAACAATTGTTGGACACTGACAAAGAAATCATTATGTTAGATTTTAACACTGCCTTAGATGGAGTTTTGGACCAAAAAGGAAATTCTGTTACAAACTATCACCAACACGTGTTTACAAAAATCTCATGGAATTCTTAGATTTAGCTGATACCTGACGTTTCAGGAATCCAAAGGATATTATACATATAACCAAGGTTAGTTACATAGATGAGGAAAGTTTATTGAAGCTGAGGTGTGGTGAGACCAGAGAGATAGGTGGCCTTATTTAAAGCAGTAAATGGTCTCTACTCTTATCTGTATATAAAGATTGTCTTTTTTTTAACTCGTTATTATGTTGTTATGCCAATATGAAATTTCTATTTTATGACTGTTTATCCCTGTGTTGTGTGATATGCATTGTTTAGCTTTTGTTTTGTTTTGTTTTCTGTTTTTGTGATGATGAACTTTATTTGTGTATTGGTTGTGTTGCATGTAATCACCACCAGCTTACACTGGACATCTCTAAATGCAAAAAAGGTGGAAAAAAAATTAAAGAAAAGAAAATTATGAATAATCAACATTAAAAATGAAAAACAAAAACAGAAAGAAAGAAAGAAAGAAAAAATGTCCCCACTAGGGGGTGGTGGTGGTTGGCTTGAAAAAAAAAGAAAGAAAGAAAAACAGCAATAAGATATTTTGTTTAGAAATGTTTATAGGCCATTGTTTATTCAAACATGTATAAACTGTATGTAAATAACTATTGTTCAGTTTTTCCACATTTTTAAAACTTTGTATGCAAAACATGAAAAAAAGTAGCTGATTAATTGGTTATAAAATGTTTTAAAAGTTGGCACATGATATATTACATGAAGGGGGAAATGTTAAATTTATACCCTAGATGGGCAATGTATCTCAAGAGAAACAATTTGTAATTTAGAAAATAAAAGTTATGTTTTTATATAAAAAAATGAAATTGTATTATTTTAGCCTAGATACATTAGAAAATAAGCAACTAATTAATCCAAAATATGCCTGCTGGTTTAAGGGTTAAAAGAAAAAAAAAGATGCGCGCAGCGTCTGTGATGTCCGCAACTGGTTTGTGGACATTTGGAAGCCTTGAGTTTGGCATTTTGGCTATCCCCATCGAGGATTTTTGCAGCCAGAAGTGACCATTTTTTGACAAGAAGGTGGAGATAATCCAAACGCTATAGCTGCTAGCTTGGTTAGCATGGTGCATTTACAGCTCTCGTTAATAGTGATAATGCTAATGCTAATAATTTTCCTAATGAAAAACAGGTTTAAAACCATTAAAACAAAATGTACTTAGCAGAAAACTGAACATTTGATTCCTTAGAGGGTTTTTTAGTGCAACCAAAGGTGAGCAAGACTTTTTTTGGGAACCAAAATGTTACAATTAACTTTCATGAAGTGAAAACACAATGAAACAGCGACAGCTATGGCTGTGGTCTCACTGTGTAAATCTGGGGTTATGGCATGGTTATTTACTTATCTAACCATCATTGTCACCATAGTAGTGACTTGTCAATGGACGGCAGCCACCTGTCACTTAAAGTAACCGTGCCCTTCATTATATATTACTTTAAACATTTAAAAACCCCCTTCAGTTCTCATGAATGTTGAATTTAGCTATAGAGACCAAAACCATATTTGTACCAGCCTGTAAACATGTAAATTACTGCTGTAATGTTGGGCATTTTAACATGGGGGTCTGTGGGTATTGACTCATTTTTGAAGTCAGCCCCAAGTGGCCATTCGAGGACCTGCAGTTTTTGGCACTTTCGTGTCGCCTTCATTTTTCAGCCCGAAGATTGCTGCTTGCCTAAACCTAACTGTGCCATAACCACGTAATGTATCATATTACACGTACTCATTATATAATACTGTTGAGAGGTTGAGGCCATTTCATGTATTTCTTTGAGATCAGGTTGATTAAAAATGAGGAGAGCCCAGCTTTCTTTTATGTGTCACTCGCAAGTCTGAAATTTAATAGAAGTGCAATACAAAGCCTTTCATGTCACTCAATTCATTCTTATATAAAAACAAGCAAAGTAGGAATTTAAAGTAAATGTGTTTTTGTGAACTGTGAAAGGAGTGAGGGATATACTGTGCTGGATACAGTGTGTGGAAATAATGGTGTGGGGAAACTCAGCCTCTGTACATGTTACAGTTACTTGGGATGGAAAATCTCTTGAAATGCACTTTTGTCAATAACAAGCAGTTTCATGTCTTTGATCTGATGCAACACAGCACATACAACCCCCACACAGCTGATAAACACAAAGTTAGTCAGTCAGTGTCACATTTCCTTTGTACACCACACTGTTCCTTCTTCAGCTTTCATGTGTCAGTGAGCTGTCAGTCAGCCAGGCTGCTGCATCTTGGCCTGAGTCTTTGGTGGCCTGCCTGCAGCCCAGCTTGCAGGATGAAGGCCCACTGGTGGAGCTGTGTGTTGGGACTACTCTGCATGCCTGCTGAGGTATTGCTCAGCACTTGGACAGGTGAGTGTGTGTGTGTGTGTGTGTGTGTGTGTGTGTGTGTGTGTGTGTGTGTGTGTGTGTGTGTGTGTGACAGAGTACGGATGGATATGATTTTTGGGGTACGATCTAAAACAATGAAGACGTTTTATAAGGTGAGTCTGAGTCATCTTTTCCTGTTTGCTTGCAGCTTCATCCTGTGTTTGCCCTTTGAGCGCAAGTCTTGAAGTACTGATACAACAATGAATTACAAATAAGTCCATAATTCAAAATCCTACTTAATTAAACGCAAAAAAATGTATCAGTAAAATGTACTTGAAGTATCAAAAGTAACTACTATGTCTGCAGAAAAATATCCCTCGTGACTGATTAGCATTTTACTCTTGTACCTGGTCAAAGTGAAGATAGTTTTTGCTAAGTTATAAACAGTTACTGTAAGCAGTAAGTCCTGCCAAGGGGTCAGGGTCCCTCGAATGAGTCACAAAATAAATCTGTGGCATTGGGAGAAAACAAAGTTCTGCTACAAATTTTTTTATTTTATCATTATTATTATTTCTACTTTTCTTTAATCTTAGCTTTTTGTGATATATTTGATAATGAAGTCTCTTCGGGCCACAAACAATTCTGTGAATAAAACCATATAAGAAGTCTTTAATATTCATCTGAAATGTGACAAAGGGTCCCAACTAGACACTATATTTTGTAAAAAAAAAAAGGGGAAAAAGGGCATCCCTTTCACAATGTTTTTTTTTTTTTTTGCACACGCAACATGCTGGTGAAAAAAAATGTGTGCATGGAAAGTGCATCCTGCTAGAAGGTTTCTGTCTGCCAGTACCAGAGGGTTTTTCACACGTAGCCTACATTTGTGCACAGTAATGAGAAGGGAAATGTCTGTTTAGCTTGCATATGACGTGTCTGAAAATTTACACTCTATACACCCAGCAGCTGCTACACCTTCACTTTCCACATTTATCATTTATTTATAACAGGCTACAACAAAGAAAACAATGCCACATTGTGCACACTTTAGTGTAAAATATAGTAAATATCCATCACAATCAACAAATCTTTACACAAAATTGTAAAATGCAGTTCTCTGAATAAATAAAATAATAAACCAACCAATTTACTCCTCTCCTCTCTTCTCCTCTCTTTATTCTCCAGTCCTTGTTCTCCTCCTCTCCTCATTCTCTTCCCCTTTCTTTTTTAAATAGTCACACACTAATTCTTATAGTTATATCCTAAATAAGCTTTAAATATTGTTAAAGAATCCCAAAAGAACAACCGCGTACACCCCACACTCCTCCTCTCCTCCTCTGCACTCTTTACTGCAGTCCCAAACTGCATGTCATTTTTGAGAGGTGGGAGACATAACATTATTTCAAATTGAGTATGAGGGAGACGGTGTGATTTTACGCCAGACTAGCTCACTTGTTGTTAAGTTTAATGGCGGGTTATTGCCTAAATTAGACCGGCTGTACTGAGATGTTCTAAGAGTGGTTTAATTTCACAACACAAACAATGCTGAAGTTTAGGGCAAACATTATTATTACCTGTTTGTGCAGGAAGATGGGTCAGGGAGACGTGACGCTGCTCTGCTCGGTTTGCGTGCGGCTGTGACAAAGGAAGTTGTAGAGGGAGGAGCAGGGGCTCAGCTCATGCAGTTGTCAGACATACAACACAATTTTAATTGAGAATTGATGCCATGGGCCGAATTCAAAAACTAAAATATAAAATTATTAATAGAAATAAAAAAGGCATTTCTTGCAAAAAAAGGGTATTTGCCATTGTTAAGTAAGATGTGGCCAGTTTCATAATGAACCCGTGAAAAATGAAGCCAATGCAGGAAGTGTTAAAAACTGCAGTTCCTTGAATGGCCACTTGAGGCTGGCTCAAAAGATGAGTCAATCCCCAAAGACCCCCCATGTTAAAATGCCAACCTTAGAGCAGAAATCAACATGTTTACAGCCTAGTACAAAAAAAGTTTTGTTCTCTGTGGCTAATTTCAACATTCATTACAACTTTACAGGGGGTGAGATTTTACAATTAACATTTTATTAAAGCTTAAAGTTATTCAGAAGGAGGATGGGGCCCTCCTTTACAAGTCAGCATCACAGCGACAACATTGGTTAGATAATTTATCCATGGTATAACCCTAGATTCTTAGAGTACCGGCTGTAGTGGCTATCTTTAGTATGCATTGTTTTCATCTGTGTCTTAACTGAGTTCTATGAATAACCACATCTTAATGACAACAGGAGACTGCTTTACACGTTGAGTCGGCTCGGCAGCAACACTAACAAACTAACAGTAAAACAACCGCCTTGTTTTGCCATTCTCATTTATTTTCTCAAACTGAACATTTCACAATAAAAGCTTCACTTCCTGTTCATTTGTCACATATGTACAATAGCCACACAGGCCAATATAAACATTTGCAGAGGTCAAAATATACAGGAACAAAGTGACCTCACATATTTAACAACCTCTTTAATATTACACTGAAACATATTTTCCTGTGTATTGTAGCAAGTCATACTATCTCACAATAAAACAAACTTATCCCTAATACATGACACTTACACAGGCATTGCTGCAGCTGTTGCGATGTCAGTGTCTTTTCAGTTCATGAAAGTTCATTGTAACATTTTAGTTGCCTGAAAAAGTCTTGCACAACGTCCGATATTCAGTTTGGTCTTTTTGTTATGTTTTAGCTTGTTTTTTGCTGGCAAAAATTAGCATTAGCATTAGTAGCCACTATCACAGTTAGCAATGGCTGAATTGCACCATGCTAACTAAGCTAGCAGGTAACGTTAGGCCTATCCTCACCTTCTCCTCCAATTATGGAAACTTCTGGTTTCAAACTTCCAAGATGGCAACAACCAAAATGCCAAACTTGGCAGGCATTGTCATGGGATCCCACAAACTAATGGGTGACATCTTTATACAGTCTATGGTTGATATGAATGAAGCAGATTTGGGTAGGATCCATTCACTGGACCTGTTTATGGGTCCAGCCATGTCTGGCAGGTCTGCCTAATGGAGACTTGTGAAGCAGTCACTAACAATCCATCTCTCCCTGACAGTGTCTCAAGATCCCTTGTCCATCTCTCTAATGAGAGTCAACTCATCTGCTGAGATCACATGCTCCACATCATTGACTCAACCGCTGGGCTTGTACCTGCACAGGCGTTTTTATTACAAAAGGGACGTACTGTACCTGCACTTGGAAAAAGGCCTGGTCACCAAGAATACCACGGCTTCGGAATTTGTTGGCCGAATCCACATAGCCCAAAACCAGCAGACCGAGGGTGGCCATGGGATCACACTGAAGCTTTCTCTGCTGGGGCTGGTGGACACAGACTTGTATTACTGCAGCTGGAAATACTTCAAATCAGAGACATCGTTGGTTGAAACCCTGCCCAGCAATGGCACCATTATTATTATCAGAGGTGAAACAGACCAGTCAAACTCAAAGATGCACACAAACACACACACTCACTCACTCTCTCTCACACACACACACACACACACACACACACACAATGTATACTCATATCAAAATAGGTTTTAACTAAGTTTTTGTCCCTGGTTTAACTTTCTTCCTCTTCCACTTTCCCTCACAGAGAGAGATCCCCAGGAGCACTGCAGGGACCACATTTTGGATCTCATCTTTATCGCCTTGAGTGTGACAGCATTCATTGTGGTATTGTTCCTCTTCATTGGAGCACTGATTGTGAGATGCAAACGTGTAAGTACTGTAAGCAGATTGACCTGTTTGTGTAATCACGCAAAGTCAGTGCCAGGTGTTTCACTGAATATGTTTTCTTTGTGTTTACAGTTTAAAAGGCAATTCAGACCAGCCAGAGCTGCATATCCACCCAGAGCTGCACACCCACCCAGAGCTGCACACCCACCCAGAGCTCACAGGCCTCAGCATGTCTGTCCTCAGCAGCGAGTTCAACATTGTCCCTATTTAGTCACATCCGTAGATACTTTGGACTTCAGGGGCATTCTGTAAGGCTAAGAACTAATGCAATGACGATTGTATGAGATCATGATTCTTATTGTAAATGTATTGCTCAGAGGCTTCGTATTAGATGACTGGTGTATCTTTTGAGTCAGCAGCACCTCGCCTTGTGTGCTCAGGAAAGGTGTCTCACTTCTTGCTCTGCTTTCCATTTCCTTTTATACACAAATTTGTTCTTTGTTTGCAGAAAAGTGATCGAGCTACCACATCCTGGCTGATGTGGGGTGTACAGGTGCTATGCGTGCGAACAGTGTTTGTGACTTAAAACTGCAAAGAAAGTATTATTGTTATTTTACGTGATGTATTACATGTGGGCTTGATTTGTTTACTTTTGCAGGTTTATCCTATGTGTTTCCTTTGTGTCTTGTAAATACGTGTTTGAATTTTTAAATGAATGTGAACCACAGTTTCCTGTCTGAATCGATATGCACAATAAATCCACACTTTTTCTCCAGTGTTGCTGTTCCTTTGATGAGTATTAAATCACTGATTTAAAAAAACTGTATCTTTATCCTGGAAGGAAAGGAAATCCACCTTGAAATGCATAACATTCAATTATATTGCTTAGTACTGAACCATTCAGGCATAAGGCTCTGATTTCCAATTTGGGGAGGCAACATACTTTTTCATGATCAGCACATTATTGTTTGTTTTTTTTAATATATTTATATTCCAAATGGCTGTGTATATTTAGAATCCCGATTTATTTTGGATGTCTGAATATGATATGTTGAGTTGGTTCTTCAAGGAAGAGATCTATATCTTAGCTAGATTTATTGAAAAAGCATGGACATTAAGACAGAAAACACTGTATCCTACATAAAAGTACAATACTTTGACGTTTTTTGTTGTTGATGACAATGGATACATAAGATTCATGTTTTTGCCATCTTTGAATTGTTTGTACATATAATGTGTAGTGTCTTGTAAGTCCATGTGGGCTGGGCACTTTAACGTGCATGACACTTAAATAAACAAATCAATCAATCAATCATATTAACCATGAGGATGGTTGTATATACTGCCAAATTCACAGAAACAACATTGAAGACTGCTTATGGTAGTGAAATGAACATTCAGTTCAGGGTCAACAGCACTGATGTCATACCAATGACATACTCCCTCAAAACTTGTGACATCTGTGGTATTGTGTTGTGTGATCAAACTGCACATTTTGGAGTGGTCTTTTATTGTGACCATCACAAGGCAAACCTGTGTGGTAATGATGTTGTTTAATCAGCATCTTGATATGCCACACCTGTCAGGTGGATGGATTATCTTGGAAAAGGAGAAGTGCTCACTCACTCGGATTTAAAAAAAAAAAAAAAAAAAAAAATTGGAATTCTGGAATTATTTTGTAGGGTCTGGGGCCCTAGACGTGTGATTTTTGTTTTGTCTTGCCCGGCCAACTTTTTGTTTTTGTATTTATTCCTTATATGTACAGTACAGGCCAAAAGTTTGGACACACCTTCTCATTCAATGCGTTTTCTTTATTTTCATGACTATTTACATTGTAGATTCTCACTGAAGGCATCAAAACTATGAATGAACACATGTGGAGTTATGTACTTAACAAAAAAAGGTGAAATAACTGAAAACATGTTTTATATTCTAGTTTCTTCAAAATAGCCACCCTTTGCTCTGATTACTGCTTTGCACACTCTTGGCATTCTCTCCATGAGCTTCAAGAGGTAGTCACCTGAAATGGTTTCCACTTCACAGGTGTGCCTTATCAGGGTTAATTAGTGGAATTTCTTGCTTTATCAATGGGGTTGGGACCATCAGTTGTGTTGTGCAGAAGTCAGGTTAATACACAGCCGACAGCCCTATTGGACAACTGTTAAAATTCATATTATGGCAAGAACCAATCAGCTAACTAAAGAAAAATGAGTGGACATCATTACTTTAAGAAATGAAGGTCAGTCAGTCCGGAAAATTGCAAAAACTTTAAATGTGTCCCCAAGTGGAGTCGCAAAAACCATCAAGCGCTACAACGAAACTGGCACACATGAGGACCGACCCAGGAAAGGAAGACCAAGAGTCACCTCTGCTTCTGAGGATAAGTTCATCCGAGTCACCAGCCTCAGAAATCGCAAGTTAACAGCAGCTCAGATCAGAGACCAGATGAATGCCACACAGAGTTCTAGCAGCAGACCCATCTCTAGAACAACTGTTAAGAGGAGACTGCGCGAATCAGGCCTTCATGGTCAAATAGCTGCTAGGAAACCACTGCTAAGGAGAGGCAACAAGCAGAAGAGATTTGTTTGGGCCAAGAAACACAAGGAATGGACATTAGACCAGTGGAAATCTGTGCTTTGGTCTGATGAGTCCTAATTTGAGATCTTTGGTTCCAACTGCCGTGTCTTTGTGAGACGCAGAAAAGGTGAACGGATGGATTCCACATGCCTGGTTCCCACTGTGAAGCATGGAGGAGGAGGTGTGATGGTGTGGGGGTGTTTTGCTGGTGACACTGTTGGGGATTTATTCAAAATTGAAGGCACACTGAACCAGCATGGCTACCACAGCATCCTGCAGCGACATGCCATCCCATCCGGTTTGCGTTTAGTTGGACGATCATTTATTTTTCAACAGGACAATGACCCCAAACACACCTCCAGGCTGTGTAAGGGCTATTTGACCAAGAAGGAGAGTGATGGAGTGCTGCGGCAGATGACCTGGCCTCCACAGTCACCGGACCTGAACCCAATCGAGATGGTTTGGGGTGAGCTGGACCGCAGAATGAAGGCAAAGGGGCCAACAAGTGCTAAACACATCTGGGAACTCCTTCAAGACTGTTGGAAAACCATTTCAGGTGACTACCTCTTGAAGCTCATGGAGAGAATGCCAAGAGTGTGCAAAGCAGTAATCAGAGCAAAGGGTGGCTATTTTGAAGAAACTAGAATATAAAACATGTTTTCAGTTATTTCACCTTTTTTTGTTAAGTACATAACTCCACATGTGTTCATTCATAGTTTTGATGCCTTCAGTGAGAATCTACAATGTAAATAGTCATGAAAATAAAGAAAACGCATTGAATGAGAAGGTGTGTCCAAACTTTTGGCCTGTACTGTATATTATTTTCACTATAAATTTTAATGTGTTTATTTATTCAAATTCAATTTTATTATTTTGACTGTTGTTTGGTGGATTGAGACTGGTGCTGTACCCCATCTTGTACAGATCTCTATTATTATTATAAATGTAAAAGAAATATATAATGAAAAAGGCTAAGATCTTTTACTCAAACCTGTAAGAATGGGAGCAAATACATATATATATATATATATATATATATATATATTATATTCATTACATTAAAAGTAAGCTGGGATCAGGCCAAAAGCGATGTGGAGCATATTCAATGTGGCATAGGCTACAAATAAATTGCAAATAAAAGAGTTGTTATGTGATTGTAAGAGGTTTCAACTGCTTTTAGACTATTTTTCGCCAACAGCCACAACTGAAAACTTGAAATTTTGATGATTTATGTTCACTGGTACAATACCTGTTGTTGTCAAATAGGCTGGATTATCAGATTACCACATCTCTCTCAAAGCCAGAAACCAAAGAAGTCCCAAACGTGTAATTTCATCAGGTGTAAAGTCTGGAGCTGCTCCATAGACAGCAAATGGGAGGCTGGTTTTGTGGACCCAGATCATGTTTGTTTTCTTTTTTATACCCAAATGAGCTTTATTCTACTGTAGTGTTCTCAGTTGTGAAACAGACAATGTACCCATATGCAACTGGGTGCTCTCAGGGTCATCTAGAAAATCTTTCATCATTCATTACCTATGGAACAGGTCCACACTTTATACCTATGACATCACAAATGAGTTTTAGCACTCTAGTTTTTGGATTTGGGAGAGACTTGTTCATTTTCATTACTATTTTTGGACTGTCTCAGATCATAGGAATAACATGTATGAATTTTGAAAATGTGCGTAGTTCCCCTTTAATTTTAAAAAAAAGTGTAACATTACAGTGTTGCTGTGGAACCTATGTACTGAATAGTCGGTGCTGCACGGACTGTTGGGGCTGTAACACACGGTGCAGCCTTGAAAACAGTCTGTTTTGGCAATAACACCATTACACTGTAACTCTGTGGTAAAGTTAATATTTGTAAAATAGAGACACACTGTTCGAAACACATAAATGTAGCTAGCTACCAGTCACCGTTGAGAACATTCAGCCAGGAGAGATAAACGTTTTTCACCTTGGCTTCTGCTCTCAGTCCTGCTGACTATCCAAAGCTCAGTCACCAGGCAGGAATGAGGAGCTGCTCACCAAACTCCAGGAAAACAACACAGTGGATTTAACGCTGACTATTTCTTGGTTAAAAGCCAGAGAGCTTGTCTGTAGCCCGGGGAGGAAAATGAGTGGCCATAAAATGCTGTTTTCCGGGTTGAAGTTATGGACTTCAGGAAGAAGTACGAGGATAAGTCGACTTCATGATGGTGAGACACTTTACCACCTCAAGTGTTAACCTCACTGTATTTAATGCTTGATATGTAACGCTAGTACGTCCAGTGTTTACTGTGTGGAGGAAACGTGCCAAACCCAGTCAAAAAATTAGTTAATTCTTATTTGTCTAAGTTTCCTTTCGACAAAGATGTATAGCTGATTGAAAATATGCAACTCCTTTAACAAACTGACTTCACTCAGTAATTCGGCTCATACACAATGTACCAAGCAGCACTCAAATCAATAAGATATAGTGTTGTACAGTTTTGTGCCTGAAGTTACTCTCAGTCTTAAGAGTGAAACAGTGCCATAGTGGTATCCTTCCCCCTGACTGTGGAGTGCTCATGAACTTGTCTTGGCAGTTACAACCCCAATTACATAAAAACAGAATGCAACAATTTGTAAATCCCTTTAGACCTATATTCAATTGAATACAGCACACAATTTTTTAAATTGATACACTATTGTTTTTTGTAAATATACACTCAATTGAACTTTTATTTTTGCAACACCTTCCAAAAAATTTGGGACCAGAGCAACAAAAGACTGGGAAAGCTGTGGAATTCTCAAAAAACACCTGTTTTGAACATTTCACAGGTAAATAGGCAAACTAGTAACAGATGATGGTATCAGGACAGGGTATGAAAGGGGCATCCTGAAAAGGCTAAGTTGCTCACAAGCAAGGACAGTGCAAGGTTCACCACTTTGTGAAAAACTGTTTGGACAAATTGTCCAATGGTTTAAGAATAATGTTTGTCAATGCACAGTTACACAGAATTTAGGATTTCACCATCCGGAGAAATCTCTGCACAATAAGGGCAAAGCTGCAAACCAATAATGACTTCCTGTGACCTTTGACCACTCGGGTGGCACTGCATTAAAAACGGACATTATTATACAAAGGATATCACTACATGGGCTCAGGAGCACTTGTTATGTGTGCAAACTTTAGAAGCCAGCATCTGTGATGGTATGAGGGAGTGTTAATGCTCATGGCATCATGGGTAACTCTCACATCTGTAGCACCATACTGGTTTTGGAATAACATATGCTGCCATCCAGACAACATGTTTTTCAGGGATGTCCCTACTTATTCCAGCAAGACAATGTGTTACAACAATGTGGCTTCATATTAAAACAGTGTGATACTACTATGAAGTGCAAAATACCACAATGGAGTCCCCAGACTGTTGAGCAGCCAAAGTTCTATGTCAAACAAGAATGGGGCAGATTTTTTTTAACACTTTATTTTAGGTTTTTCACAGTAAACATTCCTCAAGGGGGCAGTTTGGTGGGAGGAGGGGGAATGTTGATTACCGTTTCATGATGAAACTACGAGCCTGTAAATATCTGAAAAAAATGAGATCTAGGAATGTCAAAATTTTTAACTAAAGCATCAAAAGAGATTAAAGAATTATTTACAAAAAGGTCCTTAAAAAGGTCCCTTCTGTGCCATAGTTTGAATACTGGGTCCATCAGGGCCAGAGTGAAAAAAGGGTTTGAAGTGATGGGAGCAGATGAGTGCTTGTTTCAAGACAAAATGGCACCGACATTGGGACCAAATTTTGGGAGTGTTCTGAACGACAGGATTTTTTTAGATAGTTGTTTCCTTTCACAGGTAAGAGGGAGCACATTAAGGATAGGCAGGCAAAGTTGTTTCCATAGTGGACCAGACAGGGCCTATATAATACCATCTCTAAATGTAGGACGCGAGACGGCCAGCTTAGTAATGTTTGCCGACCAATAATGGTGTGAATTATTCGGTAGCTAATTTAGAGCTTTGTAGATATGTCTTATGAATCTGTGCAGTTTTTCTGTTCCAAATAAAACCAGATATTATTTTGTCCAGCTTCAAAAAAAAAAAAAAAAAATAGATAGAAAGATGGGTATCATTCAGAAAAGGTATAGGAATCTGGGTAAAATCATAATTATGATTGTGTCTATACGGCAAGGGAAATGGGTAAAGTTTTTTCTTCTTTTTTTTTAAAGATATTTTTTGGGCATTTTTAGCCTTTATTTGACAGGACAGACAAGTGTGAAGGGGGAGAGAGAGAGGGAGTGACATGCAGCAAGGGGCCACGGGCTGGAGTCGAACCCAGGCCGCTGCGGCAACAGCCTTGCACACGGGGCGCCTGCTCTACCACTAAGCCACCAGCGCCCCGGAAATGGGCAAAGTTGACCAATGTGTTGCTAAAAGAAGAGGTGATGTTACACAGTGGTAAACATGCTCCTGTCCCTTTTTTTTTGGCAATGTGTTGCAGGCATCAAATTCAGAATGAGTGTATATTTAGAAAAAAACAATAAAGTTTATCTGTTTGAACATTAAATGTCTTTTCTTTGTGTTGTATTCAATTGATTGCATTCTGTTTTTATTCATACTTTACACAGCGTCCCAGCTTTTTTGGAGTTGGGGTTTTATATTACAGTGTAAGATGTTTTACAACAAGTTCAGTCCTTCCTGTTTACTGCAGTTCTAAAGAGTGCCGAAGTCACGCCCCTTCCGGTAGAGCTCATGGGACCTTAGATCGGAAAAAATATGAATGGCAGTGAATGGGGAGAGCAATATTATCTTTTGTTCCCTTTTGAGTTTCGTCATGAAATCTAAATATGTTGTTAATGTATTTAAAACATATATTTTAAGGTCAAGAAAGTCATACTTTGTGGTAAAACTGTTGAGATATAAGCTTTTTAATCAGAAAGACTCAAGAGTACACAGGAGGAGGTCATGTATGTGACGTCATAGCTTTTGCTCACTTCCTGCAGCTTGGCCTCCCCACTGAAATTCCACTGTTTTATGATTAATCGATTTATGATTGAAGATGTCTGTGTGTTTTGTGCCAGACTGCAGTCACTCCAAGCTGCTGGAAGCAAGCGAAAGCTATGACGTCACATACGCGACCGCCTCCTGTGTAGTTTTTCTAATTACCTTTTTTTTCAAAAGCTTATATCTCAACAGTTTTACCACAAAGTATGACTTTCTTGACCTTAAAATGTATGTTTTAAATTCATTAATGACATATTTGGATTTCATGTCACAACTCAAACGGGACCAAAAGATAATATTTCTCTCCTCATTCACTGCCATTCATATTTTTTCCAATCTAAGGTCCCATGAGCTTCACCGCACGGGGCGTGACTTCGGCACTCTATAGTTGATTTGTTGTGCTTCACTGGTTCTGCAGGTATACATGGGTTTGGAAAGGCATCTTTTTCCTCAAACAGCCCAAAGGTGTGTGTTGTGGGGAGTGGTCCAGCTGGGTTCTACACGGCACAAAATTTGATCAAGGTAATTCCTGTTTTCATAATGTTGGAGACTATCAGCTTTAAGATTGAGCGATATGAATAAGCCTTCTATCACAGTATTATTTTATATTGCGATATAGTTAAAGGTCCAGTGTTTAGGATTTAGGGGCATCTATTGGGAGAAATGGTATAGAATATTCACAACTATGTTCTCACTAGTTGATAATCCCCTGAGAAGAACTGATGTGTTTTCGTTACCTTAGAATGAGCCATATGTAATAACTCACAGAGCAGGTTCTCTCCCAGGGAGTCCTCCGTATTCTTTCTACAGTAGCCCAGAATGGACAAACCTAAAGGCTCAGACACAGCTAACTGACATCATGGAACTAGTGACGACAAATGCTGACTGTTGTGTTGCCTCACATTGCCTGTGTCTCAGCCTAAAAGTTGCACATGAACACACTGCAAAGACTACAGCTGACAGCCAACCGGCACGTACATTCTGCGCCTGCATGAGAGGAAATAAGTCTACACACCAGCAGACAGCAGTCAGAAAGGGAAACTGGAAGACCGTCTTGACACCAGTTAGCCAGATAGCACATTAACAACACAATTCAGTATTGAAAGAACAGAGGATATTTACCGTGCCCCAGTGAACAATAACACAAACCATCATGAATGGTTTCTGCTGAATAGCTCAATGACTAAAGAAAAATAATCTTACCTTATGTAACAAGTTTGTTTTGGTCTCAATCCCTATTGGCTTTAGCTGTTTGTTTACTTTCCTCACTTCTGTTTTCTCTTCTGGTGTGCTGAACTGAACTGCCAATTAGAGTGATTTCATTCACAGATGGACTCCGCGGTTGCAGACACTGATTCAACATGCTGAATCGACTGAACAAAAGCCGACAAGGGCCAATGAGGGCAGCCCAACATTGACTGACAGTCGACTGTTGGCTTGATGTGTCAGTGCCTTAACACTGGCTCTAGATAGGGCCATTTGCATTTTCACTTCAGCCACCGTAGTTCTCTGACACACATTTGGCATGCTGGAAGAGTTTCAGCCAGGTTTTAGTTCTGCAACCTCACCACTAGATGCCACTAAATCCTACACACTAGACCTTTAAGTTTATGTGAAATTAGAAACGGGCACCTGACAAAGTTATCATTTAATAAAAAGCCAATATTGCTATAAAGCAGTCCTTCTGACTGATTTGAAACATTGCCTACAATGACCTAACGCATCCAAAGATACTATAGAGACAGCTACAATGGTGTAAACAGAGTAGCAAAAAAATAAATAAAAATGTTATGTTTTGTAATGTTGCCGAATCCTAACAGGCATTGTGGTCCCATACCTGCATTTTTCACTTGGGTATTGCATTGTGATCCTTGCCCAAGCTAACTTCAAATCTGCGACCTTTTAGCGTGATCAAAAAGAAAAAGTTTCTGCCAGAAAATTCCAGTGGTTTTTTTTATTGTTTGAATATCCCAGGCACAAAGTGCCTGCTGGTGAAGATATATAGTTTTGGCACAAAATATTGCGTGCTTGTAGTTTCAATGCTGTAGCCTACAGGCCCACTTTAAACACTTACTCAAGTCAAAACAGAGACATGGGTGTGCATCTCCATACTAATCCACCTTCATACACCTATCACACCCTAACTCACTGAACCTTGTTTACTTCAGTTTTCAGTTGGTGCCTTTTGAATAGACGCTCATACCTACAACTGCACCACAGACCTGGTATAAATAGGGCAGGAAATCAGTTGCAGACCACTTCCTGTAGACCTACCTGTTATTTTTGAGTCACCAGGCTAGTACACACTCCACACTAACGTAGAGATGTTTAAAAGCTTTAGCAAGCATTATTTTGTGTCGATTGTAAATGCAGCTGTGTGTGTGGCGCGGTGTTTTTTGTTTTGTTTTTTGTTTTTTTGTGATTCAGGTTTTTTAACTCACTTTCCCAATACATGTAGAAGATAATATGACACAAGACAACATTTTAAGTCAGTAAAGGAAAGGCAACAGAACAAATCTGGCCACGTGAAATAACTCATTCAAATAAAATAAGACAAAAAAATAAATAATAAAGGCAAACGCATACTTTATTTTTACACTTCCGGCAGTAATTATCATTGACAGGTTCTGCATGTAAGGTTTAAGTGGTGTTTAATAATACCTGTGTATAATTTTGTAGCTTGTTCCCATTTCTCTACCTTGATTTTCCTGAAATCCTCTCCTAAATTTGAGTTACGATCCCTTTCCCAGATATTTCTTAAGGCAAACCTCTATGTTTCTTTAAACCTGGACCCTATTTTCCCATTTTTTGTGTCAAAGTGACTAATGGGAATGACAGTTTTTGAAATTGGTCCAGTATTTAGCAAGAGGACTGCAGCTGGCATCTGCAGAACAGGCTGCAATGTCACCACTCTAAATTTATGTCCACGAAAAGTGCTTTTTTTTGCCACTGACAGGTTCAGATTGTTATATCTAAGAGTCTAACATTATGGAAAGGATCCCTACAGAGATAGACTTTTTTGTTTAAGAGAAGAATCTTTTTTGTTTAACCCGGAACAGACCCAAAACTGCCATAATAGTTTCAGTAGTGTTTTGTTCATGTCTTTTTTTCATTGGGGTGTATTGGACATCAAGTCTAACAGTCCACAAACATGACAGTGGCTTTCAATCAATCAATCAATCAATCAATCAATCAATTTTATTTATCAAGCCCAATATCACAAATCACAATTTGCTTCACAGGGCTTTACAGCATACAACATCCCTCTGTCCTTTGGACCCTCACAGCAGATAAGGAAAAACTCCCCCAAAAAAAACCTTTAACAGGGGAAAAAAATGGTAGAAACCTCAGGAAGAGCAACTGAGGAGGGATCCCTCTTCCAGGACGGACAGACGTGCAATAGATGTCGTACAGAACAGATCAGCATAATAAAGTAACAGTAATCCGTATGACAATGAGAGAGAGAGAGAGAGAGAGAGAGATGCAGGACAGACAGTAATGACAGTAGCTTACAACAACATTAATGAAAGTAATAATATTATAGTTCTGGCTACTGTGGTACAATATGTTGAAAGTATATATTAATATCTGGCAGTATACATGTGTGACAATAATCATATGTGTATAATAACAGTAGAAGTATGACTAATGACTAATGATGGCAGCAGCAGCAGGAGGCATCTGGCAGGACCACGGCAGCAGCACAACCACACACGTCACGCTGTCCAGGCACCGCTGCGATATGAGTTAATCTGAGAGACAGTGGAACACAAAGGCTCCGGAGAAGAAGCCGAGTTAGTGACATCCAGAATGGCAGAGTTAGCAAGATGCAGAGAGAGAGAGAGAGAAGGAGAGAAGGTGCCCGGTGTATTATAGGGGGGTCCTCCGGCAGACTAGGCCTAAGTCAGCCTAACTAGGGGCTGGTACAGGGCAAGCCTGAGCCAGCCCTAACTATAAGCTTTATCAAAGAGGAAAGTCTTAAGTCTAGTCTTAAATGTGGAGACGGTGTCTGCCTCCCGGACTGTAACAGGAAGATGATTCCACAGGAGAGGAGCCTGATAGCTGGCTTTGTGAGGCTGTGCTTAGACACGGTGTTGTATTGAGCTAAACACTGAGATATTTCTGTGCCAAAATGGTGATTAGCACACCAACATTGCCATCCATATTGTAGCAGGGCTAAAAAAATATTTTTAAAAAGTTAAGTCCTGTAACTAAAGGGTCGTGGTCGTATAAGCCAACTTCTTTTCATGCGTGTCACATTTCTGATCCAAAGGATTCTGTTTTACGTGTTGCATCTCTCTGTGTCTTTTTGTCCCCCCAGAGCCGTCAAGATGTTGAGGTGGACATTTATGAACGGCTGCCCGTCCCCTTTGGTCTGGTCAGGTTCGGGGTTGCCCCTGATCATCCTGAAGTCAAGGTCCTTGATCCTGATTGTAATACAGTTTTGTTTTCTGTATTTCCAGTATAAGAACAGGTCTCTCAGCAGGTTTTGAACTCGGTACCTAGCCTGCAGGTTGCAGGCTTTGTGGTATGCTGTACTGCAGGGAGAAGTCTAACTGTCCTCTCTGATTGTGAGCTTTGTTGGTTTGTACTCTCAGTTTTAGGTGTGTCTATCACAGTACTAGGTCAAAAAGAAACTTAGTCAATACCCAAGGCAAACCTGTTTACTCAAGTCCTTGTAGCATTGCATAATGTAGTTTAGTTACTCCCTTTCAAGGCACATCACCCACACAGCGGTCTAGCCTGCGTGAAAACTCCCTGGCACGTCTAATGGAAAATAATAACAGTAATCAAGGAAGATGTTTAAAGGGAACAGTTCTGATCATGTAGGGCAACAAGGTGAAACTCATAATGGGGCTACATGAGGACACGAGGGTGTGTGATGTAATTATGGGGACAGTGTGAATGTCAGATCAGTTTAGAAAAATTCCCACATTAACAGTATCTCACAGGCATTAAAGTGAAACTGAAAAAAAACAAGCTTGCTAAGGACAGTTGGCTCACACACAGGGAGAAATGGTGTGCCTCCCAGTATCAAAACTTAAAGGAGCAGTACAACATTTAGGGGAAAAAGGTAAATATGCTTTCTTTAAAGGAGCAGTTCACCCCAAAGTCAAAGATAGTTGTCGAGTGTACAGCTAAGAGGAAAAATATGTATATTTGATTCTGGGGTGAAGTGTCCCTTTAATCCAGTTTTCCCTTAAATTATAACTTCATTAACCTGTATTCTTCGGATTCACTTGTAAATACAGCCAAATTAACATTATTGGGGTTTAATCACCACTACAGGAGCTGTAACACTCATTTTAGCATTTTTGTTTTAACAATTCTGATCCTTTTTTTCTCCTCAGAATGTCATCAACACATTTACACAGACAGCCAAACATTCACGCTGTAACTTCTATGGTAACGTGAATGTGGGGAAGGATGTGAGCATTGAAGAGCTGAAGCAAGCTTACCATGCAGTTGTACTGGTAAGCGAAATAGTGAAAACACACCGCTGTGTCTGCCAGTAAGAGAGTTGTTGTTATGATGCATGTGTATGTGCCAAAGCATAATATGCATTGTTTTCCATATATATTTTGGTAGAGTTACGGGGCAGAGGGCAACAGGAGTATGGGAGTGCCAGGAGAAGACCTGGCCGGTGTGTACTCTGCCAAAGACTTTGTAGGCTGGTACAATGGGCTGCCAAGCTGCAGAGAGGTACGACTTAGACCATGCAGATCTATGGGTGCTGCCATGTGTAAAAACGTCAGCTCACAAAGTGTGAAAGATATTTTTTTATCAGTCATGTTTTTCGGGTTTATCTACTTTCTGCTCTGCTTTTTCATCATCAGATATCAGTTTCTCTCCATTTTCTTTTCCGTTCAGCTGAATCCAGACCTGAGTTGCGAAACAGCAGTCATTGTGGGCCAAGGCAATGTCGCTTTGGATATAGCAAGAGTCCTGTTATCAGACATTGACATGTTAAAGGTGAGGAACACACAGTCTGGGTTGTTCAAGGTAAGAATATAGTACCAAATGTATATCAAAAACCAAAGCAACCACACAGTGTGATATCTGGTATATGGTGGTATAAAGCTCACTCAAGGTCTACTTACATGTTTTTTCAGAAGTTATCATCAAAATTCGAAGAAGTTTGGCATACTGACAAGTTTCCATGGATATATAATAAAGATCCATGCCTTGCACATTTAACCACTAAATACACTTTAGATCATCACCATGGTGATGACAGTATGGCAGTGGAAAGTGTTTTGTGTGGAATGAAAGAACTGGTGTATACGATTGGGCTCCATGCTTGTAGAAACATGGAAAAGAGTGCCACCCTCAGAACCATCACTTCATCAGCAGGTAATTTAAAGAAAATGATGCCACATTACCAACAGCACATTTTTATTGACAAATGCCAAAACTGTGCATAACTGTGGTCGACATACAGTATCAGAAGCAACACCAAATGTTAAGAAAAATACAACTTAGGAATATCACTCACTTTAAAGGAACACTTCACCTCATGACTGATCAATTGTTTATTAGTTACTAACCCCTTGATATGTTGAATTTGTGAAGAAAACTTTATTTTTCTCGCATACTTCCACGGTGAATGAAGAATCCAAAAACAAAGAAAATTCTTGATGATTTAAAGTAATAGGGGTCCACGTTTAACAACAGCAAAACTATATGAAAACATCCATTTACAAGCTTTCACACAGCTTACACAGTTTAATCCAAGTCTCATTTATTCAGTCCTATGCTTATTATTTAAGACTGAACTGAAAGTGAAATGTATCTATGCTCTCTTCAAAGCCAGATTCCATTGACAAAAACAGTAATTTTACCTCGCTGAACATGAGAGCTGCTGGTCTACCGCTACCTCAATGAGTTAGTTTGTTTGTTTGTGTTTTTGTGGGACTTTGGTGTTTTAAAGGGTTGATTCAGATACACCAAAGTCACACAATAACACAAAGTACCTGGTCGAGGCAGCGGTAGACAAGCAGCTCCCATGTTCAGTGAGGTAAAACTACTGTTTTTGTCAATGGAGTCTGGCTTTGAAGAGAGCTTATTTAAGTATCACTCTCTCTGTTAAGTTTTTAATATTACAATTTTAGTGAAAATGCATTTGTTTGTGAAGTACTGAGTACACAACTGGATCAATGAGACTTGGATTATACTGCATGAGTTGTGTGAGGTATGAGATAAAATCATTTTTTTCTTCACAGATTCAGTGAAACGGGGTGAGTAACTGATATACAGATGGTGTTCTGGGAGCTGAAGTGTTCCTTTGAATAAACATCAACTTTATACAACTGCTCAGAAATCTAGTTTTTAGAGGGAAAATGTTCTTGCAGAGACTGACTGGAAAATATCTCTTGTATTTCTGCAGAAGACTGACATCACCCAGCTGGCTCTGGAAGGTCTGGCAGAGAGCAAGGTCCGCAGGGTGCTGATGGTGGGCAGGAGAGGACCCGTACAGATTGCTTGCACAATCAAGGTGTGTGTCAGAAGAGAAAAACTGTTACCAAAATGGGCCTTTTAAAGAGGAAGCAAACAGCTTTCAATTGTAACCATCATCTTGGTTTACTTCGATGACACCAACGCTACTGTAAACCAAATGTTTTGCAATGTGACCTGCATTAAACCACACCAAGACCCCACGACTTCCTGGTTTAACTTGGGCCTTCCGTACTCGCTCTAGCTGTGCACAGGTTTCTAGAGAAACGATTTCAGCTGTTTTTCCATTACTATTCAATCTAAATATTTAAACTGTTTATCCATTACTACATTATTATTTTTGAGGTCTCGCTTGCTAGTTTTCATACACTGTCAATGGCATGGTGTTACAACTGAGGTTGGTGGAGGTATGTTTACTCTGCAGCCAGCCTATTGTATCTGGTAGTTTGTTGTTTATTTTGCGGCTAGATTAAATAAAGATCACCATGACACCGATTTTCATCCTTCATAGATGTTTGTTTTTCTCATAAGCACAAATTTGTGAATATTTTTAATCAAGTCATAATCTACCATTAGTAGGGGACACACAAGTATAGATAATAAAATGGCTGCTGTGTGTCTTGCCCTGTTGTACTTTGTTGTAGATCCATAGCAATGTGATTCCATATCTCAAAATATAGTGATGAGTGCAATGTTACCCTAACCAGTAGAAATAATGGCCAAAACCATGAAAATAAGATCCAAGTTGTGAACTGGAATCATCCTTTAAACTCACCAAACTTATTCACCAAGAGAGACAAGTTCTTCCAGCTTTAAAGAGGAACTACGCCCATTTTCAAAATTCATACATGTTGTTCCTATGATCTGAGACAGTCCAAAAATAGTAATAAAAATGAACAAATCTCTCCCAAATCCAAAACTATAGTGCTAAAACTCAAATTTGTAATGTCATAGGGTATACATTTTGGAGCTGCTCTGTAGATACTGAATGGTGAAAGATGTTCTAGATGACTGAGGGCAGCCAGGGAAATGTTCTGAGCATGTGGGTACGTTTTCTGTTTCAGAGCTGAGAATGCTACAATAGGATAAAGATAATTTGGGTTTTAAAAAAGAAAATAAACATTCTGTGGGTCCAAAATTCAGTCTCCCATTCATTGTCTATGGAGCAGCTCCAGACTTTATACTTGATGACATCACAAGTTTGAGACTTACTTCTCTGGTTCCTGGCTTTGAGAGACAGTAGCTCATGTTCAGCATTGATTGAACTTTCCTAGGCCATGGAAATAACATATTGGAATTCTCAATTTAGGTGGTCTTTCTCTTTGAAGCTGTAGTTGGTAACTTTTATGAAAGTAACTTTTTTGTCATATTTGCAGAAACTGTTGCTGTATCATGACAGTAGTACATGAGACAGATAGTTTGTGAAAAAAATCGTTTTCACAATAAAAACAACCAATCAGAGCCAAGGAGTTTCAAGCACAGCTGTCAATCATGTCAATCAAGGCTCATGAACTGTGGTCACGTTAGGCAGCGCTGATCCAATATGAATCAAGATTCAGTTACTGCATAACCTGTTTCTCACCTTAAACGTTTTCAGGAAACATTTTAGTGTACTGTTTAGCTGTGCAATGAGAAAGTTTTCCAGTGAGCAGTGCTTCATTTATGTAATACTTTGTGGATATAGTGACAGTTTCAGCAAATATGTTACATAATATTTTACTCCATGCAATGTTCTCCTTGTCTACAGGAGCTCAGGGAAATGGTGAAACTGCCGAACACCAAACCTGAGATGGTGGCGGCTGATTTTGAAGGTGTCACTGAGGCTCTTAAAGGTAAGCAATGCAATATTATCTTCTGTTTAGAGGACAGTACTGTCTCTTTACTGCCTCATCAGTCTGCTTTATTCTCAAACACAGTGTGTGGAGACTTGAAATTTTCATCTTTCACACTTTATGGTAATGCAATAGGCTACATACAGTGGTATATTTATAATATGCAGTTCAACAGAAAAAGGGAAGTCAAAGTTTTCTTTTGTATACCAAACGAGCAGCCTATGATACTATCTGTGTTGAAAGTTTGAGTTCAAAAGAAATCAGGCCTTGACTATTGCAGAGACTGTTGAAAATGTCACACGGAAAGAAGAAAGGCTGTGGTTGACTGCCGCAACACACGCTATTGAGACCTATAACTCATACATGCTGAGGTGAATGGAAACTGTTAGCTGGTAAATACAGCTGGTAGATGTTCTGTAGTTACTGAGGTTTACTGCTGGTATGAGAAACTGCAGAATTATGCAGCACCATAGGCTATTGTGATGACCTTCTGGCCAGTGTTTGTCCTTGCTCCAGAAATGACATTGGACTGATTGATGCTGTTGAGTATGTTCAGCCTAGTGATAACAGTCTCCTTGCCTCTGCTCATGGCTCATTGTGAGAACCTTGATCTCATCTCTGTTACACGATAAGCTTTAAATGAGAAATGCTTTTAGGAACTGGTGGTTTCTATCTGTCTTGTTTTTAGTACTGCTAAACTTGCCAGTGATAACATTAGCAGCGCTGCAGTGGTGACTGCTTCGTGGTTAGTGCAGCACATCAAAAGACACACACTTACAGGAAATTTATGAAAACCAGAAGGTTAGAACATTTCTACAAAAAAAGACAGATTGTAGGTTTCGTTAGCGTGTATGTGTAGGTCCTTTACGTGTTTTTGATAACTGGAATTTGCACATACACACACCTACACACTTTTTCCATCTTCACTGAAATGGCATGATCATGCATGCATTTAAAGATGAAAACACACATATGCACACACATACATGTATGTATGATAGTTATAATTTTACCAACAACAAAAACTCAACTCAAAACATTTTAGTCCTGTCTTATTCAAAAAGAGTCATCGACATTCTGGTCTACGGACTATATATATTTCAATAAAGAAGTATACAAATTCTTTGTAACCATTTTAGCCTGGTTTTAGTCAAGAAGAGTAATCTAGTAATACAAGTAAAAAACAAAGGTAAAAACTGTAAAACTTGTTTTTTGATTTTCTTTTTAGTTTTAAAGGAATACTTCATCCCCCAAGTAGCCATTTGTATATCAATTACTCACCCTGTGTTACGTTGAATACATGAAGAAAACTTTCTTGCATGCCTACACAGTGAACGAACATACCAAAGAAAGTTCTTGATGAATTGAATTCACAGGGGTCCTCATTTGACAACAGCAAAACAAAGCATCCACATCCACACAACTCATGCAGTATAATCCAAGTCTCATTTATCCAGTCATATGCTCAGTACCTTAGGGGGCCTTAACTAAAAGTGAAACGTAGACTCCATTGACTAAAGCAGTATTTTTACCTCGCTAATCACAGGAGCTGCTGGTCTACAGCTGCCTCGATTAGTAGTTTGTTTTTGTTATTGTGTGACTTTAGGGACTCAGAACACTTCACCCAGTGCCTGTCCGAGAGGAGAGAGACTCAAAACCTTGGATAGTTCTTTGGTCTAGGATCTGTTTTATGTACCTGACAACCCTAGGAATTAAAATGAATAAAAATGGCATTCTATCGCTAAAAACGTTTTTAATGTTGGATACAGCATACTGTCCATACATACAATCCACCTCACCGTAAAAATGTGTAATACTGTTTCAGAAATCTATTTTTATTTTATTTTATTCTATTGTCTCTATTTGTTGCTGTTGTTGTGGTTGTGGTTGTTGTTGGTTTTGTGATGTGAGCTGTCGTAACACCTGCTGGCGACCAGTTTACAATAGTTGTAAAGTACTATACTTGCAACCTCTGGAACCTAAGATGGTCATCTACCGCTCTGAGCTAATTGGCAAGTAGCAACTCAACAGTGGCTTCACAAATTGAGTAAGTCATTCACTGTTGTGTAGGAAAGCAGCCATCCGTGCATGGAAAGGCAGATTTGAAACCACTGTAAAAAATTCAGTTATTAAGACAAAAATCTGAAAACTCACATATTGCATCAAGACAGCATGGAGATGTTGGTAATTTGTGTGTAACAGTGATTGATTTGCTCCATAAGTGAAAAACTGATGTTTAAATTTGCCATTTTTACATTGACTCCAATTGTTCACATTAGAGCAAAATTCAAAATGCTGTCAAAAATTCAGTTTTTGAGATAAAATTCTGAAATTTGCCACACATCATCTACCACGACTCTAGATTTTGTCATTTTTTTCATGAACATTGAAGATTTATTTAGCAAGAATTTGCATGTATATGTTTACAGTACCGTTTACAGTCAAACATTTTGATGCACTGTAGGCTCAATTTTTGATAAATCAAAAATCTGAGAAACATGGTTTTTGTAGGACAGTCTGAAGATGCTCTGTAGCAAGTTTGGTGTCAATTGAGCAAAGATTGTGGGAGGAGAAGTTTTTAAGAAGTTTTACAGATGAACTTCTTTTTAATAGGTTTAAGTGTACAAAAGTTTCTTCAGTATTGGGGCTACAGTTTGATGAAAGTTGTGAAGCTGTAGCACGTATGGTTGATTTGTTATGAATTTTCAAAGTTTTGCACTTTAGACGCTTGCTGTAGCACCACCATCAGGACTATTGGCTTGAGTTTACAGCTGAGGATATCTGGCTTGAGACTGGACCTTTGTGCAAAGTTTGGTGAGTTTTCCCCCATGCGAAGTATGATTTCCTTGAAGAAGAAAGAAGAAGAAGAATACCTAGGATTACAACAGTGTTCTGGCAGCTTAGCTGCCCGGACCCTAATGAAAGGGGTGTTTATTTGTGAAGATTATCTTAATGAACAAAATGTGTAAGTATTATAAATGTTTGTGTGGCACAGAGCTTATTTTTGGTAATAATCCAAAAATCCAATGTAAAAATTCCGTAGGCTTTTGGATGAGGGAACCAGGGAGAAGCTAACTTCCTTGTCAGCCTACAGAAAAATGTCATCCCTGGAGCACTCTATTGCAGCTGCTTTTTATTCACATTTTCTCACAAAAGTAAATAAAATACCATGGTAGTGAAGCCAGATTTTCTTATTACACACATGACCCTTGTCAGAAATATTACCAACTGATCATTTACCTGCATAAACAAACCATAAAATATTTGCAAATGTTATGGGTAATTGTGTCGTGGTGGGTAATTGATATACAAATGATCATTTGGTGGGTGAAGTATTCCTTTAAAAAAATACGTACATACTTGTATGTACATTCAAGAATAATTGGTCATTGTGATTGTTCCTCCTGCCCGTAGAAGAGATTGGATACAAATACTCACACAGTCATTCAGCACACTGAATGAAAACTACTTTCAATTTAAGAAAAAAAAACAGATGTTTATTTTAAGCATAAGTATCTGTGCTGTGTCAGATTTGCCGAGGCCCAGGAAGCGTCTGACAGAGCTGATGTTGAAGACAGCCCTGGACATCCCAGGAGAGAAGGAGCAGGAGAAACGAAACAAGGCTACCCGCATCTGGGGTCTTCGATTCTTCCGGAGCCCTGTTGAAATCCTGGCCGACCCTGACAACAAAAAGACAGCTGGCATCCGACTAGCGGTCAACAAGCTGGAGGTAAGCAGGAATTGTATTTTAAAACTCAAGAAGTCCCTCATGTAGCCATGTTGCTATGCTTAGTATGTTGGCCTGGTTAAAGTTGGTTACATCTGTATGACCAGGGTTCAGGCGAGAGGGCGCGGGCAGTACTCACTGGAGAAGTGGAGGATATGACCTGTGGCCTGGTCATTAGCAGTATTGGCTACAAGAGCCTCCTCATCGATCCATCAGTGCCGTTTGACTCACACAAAGCCATCGTCCCGAACAGCATGGGTCGTATTCAACAAGCTGCAGGTACCCATAAAAAAACAAGACCATTAAATCCTTTCTTCAAAAAATATTAAGTGAAAAAATGTAGTGAAGTCCTCTTTCTGTCTAGGTCTATATTGTAGTGGCTGGCTGAAAACAGGCCCCACTGGGGTGATAGCCACCACTATGAACAACAGTTTCGACACGGCACGATCCTTGGTGGAGGACATGGACTCAGGAACGTTGGACGTAACTGCTGCCAAGCCTGGTTCACAAAGCATCAGTGCTCTGCTGGAAAAGAGAGGTACTCTATTGAGCCTTTGGTTGATTCACTACTTTCTGTTGAGCCCTGCTATCGGGCCATGGTGTTGTCCAAACACAAGAGTTTCAGTCTGTGATGGGAGAAGTGTAGAGTTTCTGCTGTTCTGATGTCAAAGTGGAGTTTGTTCCACCATTTTGGAGCCAGGACAGCAAACAGATGTGACTTTGTAGAGCAGTAGCATAGCCCCCTTTACAATAAAGGAGTAGCAAGCTGATTGACAGTAGCAGAGCATAGCAGACAGGCGTTGTTTGACCTCGTGCTGGGTGCAGGACGGACTTGAGACGTTCACAGCATGACAGTCAAGTATTTTTCTGTTAATGATGAATAAAAATCAGCTACATCACAGCTGCAAAGTGAGTTAGTTATCCTTGCTGTAGAAAATTCCTTTCATGAAGTTGTTCACTTCTAAAAACGGCAGTAACTGGTTTGACATGATCAAAAGTTCATGATTATACCAGGGTATGGTGTACAATATTCAGTGTGTATATGTTGTATATCATTCAGAGGTTGTCTCCACATGGCTCTCGACATAGAGGTGGCTAAGCTGGCTAGCAGTTAACAGTGTGAAGAGTGCTAACAACCAATCAGCAACAGTGCTGACAGAGCTAACGATGTAAACTGGGGGAACCAAGGGTGGGTGCTATGCTTCTGCCTCACTGCCGCCATGATATTAGCGGTGACCACTGTGTAGGTGCAGTGCAGAGTGGCACCGATTAGATAGCCAGTGCAACACAAAAAAGACTGACATGCACTCACAACAAGGAACAGAGATGCTCATATTACAACACACACAGAGGGAGCATGACTTCATTCTCTGTTTGGGACGCCATTACTCTACTAGAAAAAAGTGGTTTGCTGCTGTATTAATGCTCTGAATATTTTACAGAGCTCCTTTAAATGCACGTTATTGACTTTGCCAAAAGGTGTCTGTAGCCAAATGTGCCGTAGCCAAATGTGATTTGTATTTATCCCCCGTAGGAGTGAAACCGGTGACTTTCTCAGACTGGGAGAAGATTGACAGTGTGGAGATGAAAAGAGGTGAAGCCACCGGGAAACCCAGAGAAAAACTACTGACTGTAGAGGAAATGCTGAAGGTGGCTCGGAAATAACTGATGATAAGAAACTGACGGGTAAAGACTGAGTCACTGCTGCAGTGTAAAAAATAACAGCAGTTACCATACTGATGGGGACCAATGACTGAACACAATGGGCACAGAAAAGAACATGGACTTTATTCATGTTGTACACGGAAACACATTAAAAGCTAGTTGGTACTGTAGAACCCCTAAAGTTTTTGCCTCATTGTCTTTCAGTTGGTGTCTATCTTCAACAGTATCAGTCTAAAGCACTGAAAGACTGACCTGTGGTTTCCTGTTGCACTAGCCTCAAATAAACAGGATGCTCTAAAGGATGCTGTTAATCATGAACCCATTGTGTGCTATAATATACTGTATGTATGTTAAAGAGTAAAAACTAAGTGGTGGCTGAATTATGTTATATGCTATTTGCACTCACATTTCATATGATCAATATGTTTTATACAAAATAAAGTGTGACTTATATCTTTCTATTTCTGTTTCTGAGTAGCTTTTCCCACTGTTGCTATTTACTACTGTCAGCTTAGATTTCCTACATCAAGAGTGTCCAAACTTTTTTAAATGGGGGCCAGATCAGATTATGTGAAAACAGCTGCTTCTCACATTATGTGTTATTAAAAAAACACACGAATGAAACTAAAGCAACTGTTCGATCATTCAGTGAAAATATATTAAACTTTCCACAACTCCTAAAAGCAGCGACCCTCACTGCTGACTTTACGCTTCTTTGCTGTGGCCATGTCTAATACCTAACAGGAAATGGCTGGTCTGCTGTTAACTGTTAGTTTGCTTTGGTTTACCACCTGTTTACAAAAACACATCAGTCCCTCTTGCGTAGTTTCTACTTGGACAATGTCTCCAAACTGTATGATAGTCCTGCCATCATGAGGTGAACAAAAAAAATGCAAAGTAAACTTGCTTGATTAACCAATATTGTTTGGTGGGCCACATATTGTATATTTTAAAAGACAAGCCACCAGCTGTTTAAAATATATGGGCCACGATTGGCTGGACTTTAGACATGCCTGTCCTACATGATGGGTCTAAATCAATAGATGATTCTGGATTACAATTATTATACTTTTTGTGATAGGGATATTTAAACACAGATCACTTTTTATTGCATTAAAATTATTAAATTGTTTTAACATGGCAGACGGGGTTAGTTACAGTCTCTGTCAACTGATATGTCATTTATCATGCTCATCTCTTTATTTCTGTGGTAGCGTTTAAGTGAAGGTGTAGCACATCTCTAACTACCTTAAGCAGAAATACACTCACTGGCCACTTTATTGGATACACCCGTTCAACTGCTCATTAACGGAAACAGCTAATTAGCCAATCACTTGGAGGCCGTTTACACGTACACAGTGATTTTGATAAACGGAGACATCTTCCTTCGTTTGTGCCCTTCGTTTACACACAAACGGAGATTTCTCCTCTGAAAACGAGTCTTTCTAAAAACTCCGGCCAGAGTGGAGATTTTGGAAAACTCCGGTTGCGCGTTTGCATGTAAACTGAGATAAACGGAGATAAACGGAGTTATAGGCAGCCGACGTCACAGTATGCGCTGGAACTTGTGCCTGTGTAAAAAGTGCGACCTATGTTGCTATGGTGACAATGGATACATGGAAGGCTTGAGCTTCTCGTTACACTGCCACCTACAGGTTTGGCATGCTCTTGTGTATATATACACGGGTAAGTATAAACGAAGATCTTTTTGAAAACGGAGACGGTGAAATGTCCGTTTATGAAAATAGCCGGCAACGTGTAAACGGCCTCTTGGCCACACAGGCTAGGCTGAGTATTTCAGAAACTGCTGATCTTCTGGGATTTTCATGCACAACCATCTCTAGGGTTTGCAGAGTATGGTCCAAAAATGCCTTGTTGATGCCAGAGGTCAGAGGAGAATGGCCAGACTGGTTCAAGATGATAGAAAGGCAACAGTAACTCAAAAAACCCCTTATTACAACCAAGGTATGCAGAAGACCATCTCTGAAAGAACAAAACGTCGAACCTTGAAGCAGATGGGCTACACCAGCAGAGGACAACACGGAGGACAACTCCTGTCAGCTAACAACAGAAAACTGAGGCTACAATTTGCACAGGCTCACCAAAATTGGACAATAGACGACTGGAAAAACGATCCATCCTGATTTGTATCAACGGTTCAGGCTGCTGGTGGTGTAATGGTGTGGGGGATATTTTCTTGGCACACTTTGGGCCCCTTTGTACTAATTGAGCATCATTTAAAGCTATGGTCTACGTTTAGATAGACGATGAGAAAGATTTGAAAAAAGCACCCCCTCCACAAACACACCCCTCCCTCTGTGCTCCATGACCCCTCCCCTCCGAGCTTGTGTCCCCCCTCCCCTCTGAGCCTCCTAACGACACATAAACAAGCTGATGTGACAATGTGTAAACATGATAGCAATTTTGGCTTACAATGCTAAAAGTAAGGCTAACATCTCTGTCAAACAAGTAAACAAGTGTTGACAATATTGCAGACAAAACATGTTTCGATGCCGTCTAATCACAAAAAACTAACGGCAGCTTTCACAGTCATAAGCCAGCATTGGCATACAGTTATCTGTGTCATAGTCTGAGTGGGCGGAAGTTCGCTGCATAGATCAGCCTCTCATTTGGCGGAACGAGCTACCTGCTGAAGTCCCGCCCTACCACCTCCGGTTGTGTAGCAGTTTTCAACCGTTTTCAACACGTCCTTTACTAACTTTTGCAGTGTTTGATCTTGCGGGAATGTAGCCATTTTTCTGCCATGGTTCGCGTCCTGTAGGCGATATTTTTGTGGGCATGTTACACCAAAACCTGTTTCCCCCCGGCAATATTTTTGCAAGCGCACTGTTGCTGTGGCACCGCCCAGAACGATTGTGATTGGTTGAAAGAAATACAAGCAGCCGGAGCGTTTTTTTCTCCAATCTTAAAGTGAGACTCGGCCCAGCCGAGACTATCTGTGTCACAACATCCACAATTAAAACGAAATATTACCTATTCAACAAAAACTCTGTTGTATCAGCATCACTTTTCAGGCCCAGATCTTGCCGGAGCTTTCTCCATCGGTCAAAGGATGACCCGATGTTTACCCTGCTTTGAGCCCTCAATTTGTCACATTTCCTCTTCGTTTCTGCCTTTTCAGAGGCAGACTTGCACTTCCTTTCGGCCTTTGCCGGTGGGGCAAGCAGAGGCCGCTTGCTGCTATCACTCTCTTTATTTTCCATATTTAAACTTGTGTAGCTGAATCGCTCAGGGCCTTACAAACCCCTCGTACTTTCAAATGCGGAGGGGGGTTGAGACGAAGCAGGACGAGGAGCAGAGAAGAGTCAAAATGGAGCGAGGGGATTGGATGGAGGGTAAGAGAGAGAGAGTGCAAATTTGAGCAAGGAGTAACTCCCATGCGGACCGGATGGCTGTGATTGGTCAATTTCTTTGCAGGCCTGCAGCCACCAGAGAATATGGACTTTTTTTGGTTCCTTTTGCTCTTCACATTGTGTAGCTAGTACTATTGGGCCATAACCACCATCTAAATGATGTTAATAATAATGATCAATCTTTCTAAATGTAGACCATAGCTTTACCATACAGCCTACCCGAGTATTGTTGCTGACCATGTCCATCCCTTTATGACCACAGTGTACCCATCTTCTGATGGCTACTTCCAGCAGGATAACGCACCATGTCACAAAGCTCAAATCATCTCATACTGGTTTCTTGAATATGACGATGAGTTCACTGTACTCCAATGGCCTCCACAGTCACCAGATCTCAATCCAGTAGAGCACCTTTGGGATGTGGTGGAATAGGAGATTTGTATCATTGGTGTGCAGCCGACAAATCTGAAGCAACTGCATAATGCTATCATGTCAATATGGACCAAAATCTCTGAGGAATGTTTCCAGCACCTTGTTAAATCTATGCCACCAAGAATGAAGGCATTTCTGAAGTGGAACTTTGTTTGTACAGAGGGTTCTATAACTCACTTCCACTCCCCACTAGTTGTTTTGGGATGGCACTCAGTGTGGCAGATCCTCCATGTGAACATGGAAATGGAATGAAAGTGGGTAGGGAGAGGGTGTATGGGGTGGTTTGGGAAAGGCCCCTTGTTCTCCAGGGACATTCACAAATAGTGAGACAGCCAAGTGTAAATTCTGAAATAAACAAACCAAATTTTGCACAGCCATTTTAGAATTAACCGTCAATGGTAGTTATGAGTGAATGTCATTCAAGACCAGAGCACACTGGTGACATCACTGCTAAGTGTCCTAAAGAATATCTAATCAGCTCCCATGTCTGAGTAGGTGTAGCTGTAGCACCTATGTGACCCCACCAGATACATGATGCACCCACCATACCTACATGTCAGTCCAGGATCAGCCCCCTGAAAAAAATGCGTAGTATTTAGCTAGCTACAAAGTTGTTAAGAGGTGGTTAAGGTTAGGATAAGGGTTACATCTTGTTACCTATAAACGTGAATCACGTCTTTATGCACTGAGTTAAAGTGGATTGCTACGTTTGGCCTCATTTCTTCACTACAATGATGCATTGCAGAAGGGTTCAATACATGTATGTATCTGCAGCTATGCGTGTCCCCATGTCAGTTTGATAGCCACATCTGAATTAACAGGCTGTGCCAGCACGAGAGCTGAGCCACAGGACTGGAAGGATACTGGAGTGAACAATAAGGCTAGCTGTAGGGCAGTTATCATAAACCTGGTTGTATTCCATACCAGAAAGTGCTTACAATTATAAAAGAATAAACCTTGGCAATTGTTCAAAGCCACACATTTGGTGGCCATCTTAAAAGGCAGACATGTTGGATTTCCATTTGGCTAATGGTAGTTTCTGAACAATTTTGTATTTAGCTGCCCTACTAAGTGAACCACAACTTATGCTAGACCCATTTAAATCTTCCCATCCCCAAGGAGAAATAATGAAACAAACATCAGTTTAGGGTTTTATTTAAAGCAGAGAGATAAAAGCAGGTACATGCAGAATGAAACATCTTGCGTTCAGAATGAGCTCTTGCATGGTTCCTCACATGTATTCCCTACTTTAACTTGGGCTCTCCATGACCGTGCGAGTTCGTGATCAGTTTTGGAGTTTTAGCTCCGACTCTGCTCATTTTTGTCACAGCTGCGCCACTTTCAGGTCCCATCTCTGCGGCTTCATTAACAGCTCCATCATCGCTGGCCTCTGTCACGTTGCTGCTGTTGCCATGGTCAGGTCCCATCTCTGTGACTTCATCAACAGCTCCATTGTCATTGGCCGCAGTCACGTTGCCGCTTTCCTGGTCGCTGGCCGCAGTCACGTTGCCGCTTTCCTGGTCGCTGGCCGCAGTCACGTTGCCGCTTTCCTGGTCACTGGCCGCAGTCACGTTGCCACTTTCTTGGTCGCTGGCCGCAGTCACGTTGCCGCTCTCCTGGTCACTGGCTGCAGTCACATTGCCGCTCTCCTGGTCACTGGCTGCAGTCACGTTGCCGCTTTCCTGGTCGCTGGCCACAGTCACGTTGTCGCTCTCTTGGTCGCTGGCCACAGTCACGTTGCCGCTTTCCTGGTCACTGGCCGCAGTCACGTTGCCGCTCTCCTGGTCACTGGCCGCAGTCACGTTGCCGCTTTC